TCCCCATTTCACCCTGACCCGATGGTGGTGCTGCTGGCTACTTGTTTGATGCATCGGTGATGAGACAATTCTGCCATGTTTCCATAACGTCACGTAGCGCTTTTGTTTAGGTGTGTGGATTTGGTCACCTGTTCAACATTCTGATTCCTGTAGGTCTGATTGCCTGAGTAGCCCTTATCATGCTGCAGCTGTCTAGTATTTTAGTAATCGGGAGTCTTTTTGAGTAAATCTGTGATTTATCGAGTTCTCTTACAGGGATGTGCTGTGCTAGCTTATCCCAGCTAAATGAATGCTGCTCTCTCAGTGCTGGGGGCTGAACAATTGGGGAAAATAATCTAATTGCGATTTAATTCACAATTATTTTCTCAAGGGGCTTTTCTCATAATTTTCAACTAACAGAAGCAAAAAAAATTCTATGTAACTTGTACTGATTATAAACAAGTTTACGTATCTATCTACAGTAGACATTAGTCAGGCACTTAATGATTATAGCATCACATTGGTTTAGCCGGCAGATAAACCTGTACATCACAATCCTCTGCATTGCATGAAATGTATTTATCGCCATAGTAACAAACCAGTGGCTTGCACTTTCCCAATGAGGTCTCTTTAGCAAAATTCTTAGGCAATCATTAAATGCTACATTAAAGTGACAGTGTGTATTTTTCTGGCGATGGAGGTCAGTAGATACGTAGGGCTGCTCAATTAATCGAATTTTAATCACGATTACGATCTGAGTTTTGAACGATTATAAAAACAAAACAAGCCGATTATTTGCTCCTCCCACATTGTTGCCAACTTAGTGACTGTGACGCTATTTCCAACAGCTTTTCAGACCCCCTTCTTGACTTTTTAAATCTTAAAAGTACCTAGCGAACACCTCAGAAACATCTCTGGTAACCCTTAGCTACTTTCTGGATAACTGTCGTCGACATTTCCTGCAGGTTAGCTAAACACTCCGCCTGCGCTCCGGACCGTTCTTCAGGACATTTAGGAAAGGGAATGATGTAGTGACGTGCCAGTCGCTAAAGAAACAGCTCTCAGAGCCGGTTTCCTGTTGGAGTAACCAGAGTGAGTGACACACACCGCATCTGCGGACTCCTGAGCCACTAAAAACGGCTAAATGTGTGCGCGCTAAACACGTGCAGTTTGCCAATGATTGCTGTGAGACCGGTTTGGGGGGGTGGGGGTACAGCTGTGGTTGGGACAGTTATTACATTAACTGATGGACTTGTAAATAAATAGTTTATAAATAAGGTAGAAATAAGTTCCTCACGCTGATAAATAATCTCTCTGAGGACACGGTGCTAGTGTACTCTCCTACAGCACTTTGACACGACTCAATAAATGCTATGCAACATTTTGTGAACATCAATTTATTTGCATTTATTTGTTATAAATGCCACTGTATACTTCTTGCTGTCAGTATTTGCAAGATGTTGGTATTTGAGTCTGTACTGGTTAGACTTAAATGAGTTAAACCAAGGTCTATAGCCTAGGGATGCACCGATGGATCGGCATTTGATCCCAATCGGCCGATAGCGCCCCTATCGGTTTTGATCGGAATTTTCAAAATAGATCAAAGCAAACCGATCAGGTAGGGTTGTCACGGTAACCAGTGTAGCGGTAAACCCCGGTAAAAAAAAAAGTTGACAATAATAATAACCGTCTTGTTTTTTTTTTTTTAACTATATTATCTTGGTGGGTTTACCGTGGCTGCGGTGTAGGCGCGGTGACCCTTACCAGCCACCGTATCATCTGCTGAAGTTGCCGGCGGCACATGCGCGCTTTGCTGTTTACAACAAAACTTTCTTGAAGCTAAAGCTGAAATAATGGTCAAAGGAGGAGACGGCAGCGCTCAGGACATTTATTATCCCTCAAAGAAGACAAAGTCGGAAGTACGGGCATATTTTAGATATTTGAAGAATGCCGAGGGAGTTTATAGAAGACGGACGGACGGCTATCCTGTTTGCAGCACGTGCAGAAAAAGAGTCTGTGAAAGGCAGCAACGCTTCAAATCTCATGACACATCTGCGTGACCATCACCCACAACTCTACAGTCAACGCAAGGCAAGCTAACGTTAGCGTTTTAGCTAAAATGCGTGATCCGAGGATTTGGGTTGAGGGAGAATGTAACGAGTCGCTATATAAAGCAGCCGCAGCGCCGCTACCTGCATATAAACCGTGTCGCGGACACCGCCATGTTGAAATGACGCTATGCATTACGGGGCTCCCAGGAGCAGGTAAGAGTTGGTCTCTCTCCGAGAATAATTATGAATTTAACAATGATTACTGCCTGATGACATTTTCCCACATCTGCAAAGCTCACTGGAAGGACACAAACCGAGGACAATATTTTCCTGAAATACGGATTGCTCAAGTAAGGGTAAAAAAAAAAAGTATCTGATTAGAAGGCTACTTGAGTACTGAGTATCATCTGATCTAATATTTTTAAATGATGACATCAAACAGACATAAAATACAAAGTTATGGGCAAATATTGGTATTTTAAAGACTAAAGGGGAAAAATGTAAACAAATAAACAACATAATTACAAAATAACACATTTTAGGCTAAATTTAGACACAAACTGAGGACAATATTTCCTGACATACAGGGTTTATTACTCAAGTAAGGGTAAAAAAGTATCTGATTAGAAGGCTACTTGAGTACTGAGTATCATCTGATCTAATATTTTTAAAATGATGACATCAAACAGACAAAAAATAAGAAGTTATGGGCAAATATTGGTATTTTAAAGACTAAAGGGAAAAATGTAAACAAATAAACAACATAATTACAAAATAACACATTTTAGGCAAAATTTAGACACAAACGGAGGACAATATTTCCTGACATACAGGTTTTTTTTAATTGTGTGAAAATGTAGCACGTTTAAAAAAATATATACCGTGATAATACCGGTAACCGTGGTAATTTTGGTCACAATAACCGTGAGGTTAAATTTTCACACCGTGACAACCCTAATACAGACCATTTTAGATTAGGTTGCATTTCCTTTATTCCCAGATTATGTAGTTTGTAGCACTCATTATAATGTTGTAGAAAATTTCTGGCCAATCCACGTGATCGGTATCGGTGATCGACAGCAAAAAACCTGATCGGTGCATCCCTACTATAGCCCTTGGGTCATAAACTATGAGCTATAAGTATATTGGTCTTTTTATACTGGGAATCAGGAGTTATTTTAGTGATCATCTTGTTTCTTATTTCTTTTTGTCCTGATTGTGCCCTGAGCAATTTTATGACTGAATAAAAACAAATAAAATCAACATAAATTGAAAAATCGTCCTAAATAATCGAGATCTCAATTTCAGTCACCATAATCGTGATTATTGTTTTTGCCATAATCGAGCAGCCCTAGTAGATACCTAAATCGTTGCAAGCAAGCAGTATTTTTGAGTTGGAGTAACCCCCAAATTCCACTACCTCCGCTGCGGTCCGCCCCCGCCTTCCGCAGCCGCTCGCTTCCTAACTCAATTTTTACTGGTACCCGCTCTACAACGGCTCCGCTCCGGTGCAGAGACCTGAGGTGGGCAAACAAGCATGCGCGGGATTTTCAAGATCTTGCGATACAGTCCGAGCAATAAATGCGGAAGTTAGATCCAAACACCCGTTGTGTGGGAGAAGCATCGGCATGAACTGTTTAATCTGCCCATCATTTGTGTTGAGATCAGCAGTGTTTGGATCTACAAAGTGTGACTACTTTGATAGAGGAAACTGTATTTATGGCTTACTTTTGTGCATTTAAAGTTCAGCCGCCATTGATAGTTGTTAAAAGTTGTTAAACCTGTGCATATGAAACAAAAAACGCCTTTTGTTTATCGATTTATTGTGAAAAACGGAAATTGTGCTTGCTCCTTTTCCTGTTGGGTGATTGTGATTTCTGTCCATTTACTGCGGAGGTGCTCCGGTGTCCGGCAAAAATAGGATCGATTCTATTTTTGCCGGAACAGAGGGCGGCGCACGGCGCCGCACTGCCGGAGCACAGCCGCAGTAGTGGAATTGCTCTGATTGACTACAACGGGACCGATTTTGCTCCGGCGTTCGTGTCGGAGCGGAGCGGAGCGGAGGTAGTGGAATTTGGGGGTAAGACCTTACCAACGGATGCCCATTAGGGTCTAAAAGCCTTGGGGAGTGCAAACTTCAGCAAAATAACGACATTTAAAGCCGGGCGTACACTGTGCGACTTTTTCACTTTTTTGAGCCGATTTTCCAGTCGTGCGAGAAGCCACAAGATCGGGGCGAGTTTTACGCCGAGATGTCGTGTAGTGTATGGGGGTTACGAGAGGCGATTAACACCACGTGACCAGCTACCGATCACCAATCGTGAGCTCGCATGGACTTCTGGCATGTTTAATATTTTGCTCGTCCCTCGTGAGGGTATCGCACTGTTGAAGCGGCGCTGCGAGCAGCTGCGACCCAAAAAGTACCAGAACCGCTCACGGCACATGCACAATCCTGCATCAACGCCGCTCGCTATTTCCCTAATAACACACGTTGTTCGTTTTTGTTTCTACACATTTTTTTAGTCACAAAGATTGTCAAGAAAGCGTGTTTGTCGTGTTCATGTCAAATTAAACTGATCACAATACACAGATTTACTTTCTTTATTTCGTTTTCCTCATCCAACCCCCATAAATCCCTGTGTGTCCTCCTGCAGCACTCCTGAAGGACAACAGGCAAAACAAGACAAAAAAGTCTGACGTGTTGAGTAAAAACTGCTATTTTTAGCATATTTTTAGGGCCGACGTGTTGCTACCAGACGTACAGTGTGAGCGCACGACTCGTGAGATCTGCTCTGCGAGGAAGTCGTACAGTTTGAGCTGAAGCTGAGTGCTACGAGTGAAAAAGTCGCACAGTGTCCACCCGGCTTAAGAGTGACGAAGGTTTTGTAACCGTTTGTCACAAATCAGTAAATGCATTTTGTCCTCATGGGCTCCCGTAGAAAGAAACATGGCATCTAATATGACGTCGCCCCGAGATTTAGACCCACTCCCATGTATTTTAGACCTGATTTTTATGGTTATATGTTATGAAGCCGCCCATATTTTTCAACAGGGCATAATTTCATACATTTTCAACAACATTTTGATGGATGTTTCCAGAAATTAATGCTAAAAACTACACATTGTCTCTTTAAGTCACCGAAGACTTGATTGTTTGTAGCAGGACCACAGGTGTCATGTATAACTGAGTACAGTATACTTTAAAGAGTATCGTTTTCACTACATTAGAGCACACGCTGAGCCTACGAATTAGCATTTTGGCCTGTGCATGCATCCTACAGCATTGCCAATCAATGTCATCATCGTCAGCCAAATCATGGTTGATGAAATGCCTCAGATATCTGTGTTTGCCACTCACAGCCAAGGTTTTACCACACAGTGTGAACTGGGGAAACTGCAAACCTTTGTTCTGCAGGTCATAATGACACTCTTGGTAGGATAATAATTGATATCATAATCTACGTTTTAGCATCAACTGTGAAAATGTATTTGCAGGAAAGAAGTGTGTCCCATTTATTGAAGTAATTTGTGTTTAGCATTTTTGATGTCTTGTCCATGCAGAACTTCCGTAGTTCAGTTACGTTCATAGGGAGCCTAAGTCTCCTCCCTTTGCGGTCGGCTCATGGCTCCCCGGAATAATGAAAAAATGAATGCAAGTCATCGGAGCTAAAAGAGCTATGTTCTAATCCACTTTGCCTTACGCCCTGAATCACACTTATGTTGTACTTCAATTTAAATGAAAAGTAATGATGGGTGTTTGGACCACACCAGTCATGTACTTTGAGATTTATTAGCTTGTCAAAGTTTGTAATTAGCATGACTACACACCAGAAATCGGCACGTCGCATATGTGACGTCACCACAGAATCTCCTCTCCCCTAGCATAGCTGCTACTTACCAAGTTACCAGATTTATGGTGGCTTTTTTCTTCCTGTGGGAAATTCGCTAAACTTACAGCCCTTAACTCTCAGTTTTCTCCGTGTTTGGTTCAATTATGTCACCTTGGTGAAGCACATTTGTAGTCTCAGATTTATTTTCACACAAAACCTAAAATAGCTTTTTCCCCCTGTTTGAAAATAAGAGCGTTCTTGGTATCAAAATGTGTCTTTCAAATTCACTGACATCATCTGTGAAATCCATGGTACAACGTCAGCGGAATTAGAACATTTTTAGCCTCATATTTTCTAATTCCGCTTGTAATGTAAGTTGTAAGAATTTAATCGATGATATTAGCGTTAGCATCCTTATGGGTTTTTCCACATATATTAGCACTGTGCTAACCACTCGCTGCCAGTCAAATCACAGCCTTTGCGATTAGAAAATCTCCTTTTGTCACATCGCAGTTTAATTGCATATGCATTTAATCATTTAGCTCTAGCTGAGGGTAATTGATTGTTTTTAAAATGATTATGATTTTAAAACTGTTTAATCAATTAGTCAACCATTCTAACAACTAATTAGACGATTGTTCTAATGATTATTTCTGTTGTACAATTAATAAAAACCAAAAAATCTCCAATAAATGCCCCAACATTTTAATAAACTGGTACTGTACAAGAATAAACACTACAGGCCTTGACGTGTAGCTCTTGGGAGTTCAGGCTGCTAAGAGGTGGTTGGAGATGGAGTTTTGTTCTCTATGCTGCTTTATTTTGGTCCCTCACAGGCCTGTGGCAAGTGGTGTTAAGACCCTTCCTAGGGAGTTTGGCTCGTGTGGAAAAAGGGAGGCACAATAACACAAGATTTAAAGGTTAAAAGGATGATGAGTTTTCAGGCTTATTTACAAAAATACTTCGATATTTCAATAATCAAAATTTGTCCCACTAAAACTGGGAAAAGATTACTAGATGCTTTAAGACCAAAATAAGGATCTCTGAAGGTACAAACTCCAAACTGGGTAGTTAAACCAAACTCAGCTCTCTAAATGTAACCAAAAGGGAGATCTACTCTACAAAAGGATCAGTTCTAAACTTTAAACCAAAACATAACAGCTCATCCAAACACACAAAGCTGCTAGCAAAAATGTTAAAAGTATCTACCAATGTTAAACTTAAATGTACCAAAAAGACCCAGCGAACAGACCGGAGCGGAGGAGAGACTGCAGTCGTCTGAGCTGTTTGTGTGGTAGCAGTTCTTTCAACATTTGAAAGAAGGGAGACACGCCAGTCCTGGTGATTTCCTTCATCTGCGGTAGAGACAAAGCAGCAGCTTTGACCTGGAAGTTGTTGCCAGGCGACTAGGGATGTAAGAAAATATCGATATGGCAATATATTGTGATATCTTTTTGTGCAGTATCATATCGATATTCAAAACCGCGTATCTAATTTTTGGAAGAATTCACAGTCAAACATTTGTGTATTTATTTTTCTTTTGGTGCAATTCAAACTCCAACCGCTAGTTGGCAGCAGTGTGTAATGGGTTTTGTTTCCGCCATTGACTTGTAAATCCCTCTGTTATGGTTCAGATACCTCATGTTACACATGTTAAGAATCAGTTTGGACTGTTTATTGGATTTTCCTACAATAAATTCAGTCAAAATAGCTACCAATGTCTGAATGAATGAATCGCGATGTATATTGTGATATATCGTTCCTAGTTTCTGAATTACTGGCTGCCTGAGAAAAACTGTTGTGCCCTTTGACAATTTAAAACTTTCTGTCTGTTCTCGGGGAAATGAGTCTTTGGCTCTGTGTTAGTCTGAAGTTAAGCGGGTTTCTGATCAGCTGAGATGTTCTAGCTCAGATTTAAGAATCAAACACACATTAGTCTTAAGTTGCTGATGTTGCTATGGAAACACTAAAAAGTGTTGTCTGATTAGAAAACAGTATCTGACGTTTTCCTTAAGGAGTCTGTCTGAATTGTTCTAGACAAGTTGAGTTAAAGTCTCTAAAATCAGGTCCAGTGACATAGTCCTTCATAATTACTGTCTCAGTAGCGCTAGCTCAACTGTCTGTCTCACCTGCGTGTCTCACCCACGTCTGTCTCACCTGCGTGTCTCACCCACGTCTGTCTCACCTGCGTGTCCTGTTCAGGTCTGCTGGAGCTTAATGTGTCCGGCTGTGCATGGCCGGCCGTCTCAGCTCTGTGTCAAGCCGCCTGTCCCTGTCTGAAGGTGTTGGACCTCAGCAGAGTCGAGGACCTCAAAGACTCTCACCTGAGAGAGCTCCTGGCCCCCCCGCCTGACACTCGGACAGGTGAGACTCGCACCCGCAGACTGAAGGTCTTGTTTTGATTAACTTCTGAAGGTTCTGTGTTCTGATTGGTCCATCAGCTCATGGTGAGAGCAGAATGGGGCGGTTCCAGAATGTTAGGGAGCTGCGATTGGCTGGTTTGGACCTGACAGACGCGTCATCCCGCCTGCTGGTGCGCTACGTCCCACACCTGACCCGTCTGGACCTGAGCCACTGTGTGAACATCACCGACCAGACGGTCCAAACACTCACCTCGCATGCCTCCCCCCTAAAGGAGAGCCTCAACTACATCAACTTGTCAGGTAAACGCTCCTTCTCCTGCGCCTCACCTCACTTTCTGCTTCACTCCTCCTCCTCATCTCTGTTTGTGTGCTGCAGGTTGTGTGAAGGTGACGGAGCAGACTTTCTTGTTGCTGCAACGCTTCTGCACCCTGCAGACCATTGACCTCCGCTCCTGCTCCCTCCTCTCTGCTGAGACCGGACAGCTGCTCTCCTTTCCACCCTCCTCGTCCACCTCCTCGTCCACCCTAACAACCTCCTCTTCCTCAGTCACCACCACCATCGCTGCTCTGCCCTCCTCTTGTCCTGCTGAAGACAGAACGCTGCTGAAGAACAGTTAAAGTCCTCCAGGGCATGTGACACCTGAGTCCAGAAGGCTTACAAGCCCCACCTCTGTCCTTGTTACACTACACACAGGTGAGGAGCAGGAGGAGGAACTGAACGGCGCTGAGCAGGGAGAGGAGCAGGGACGGTTGTTGGTAATAGTTAAACATAAAAACCCTGAGCATGTACATATTTGTTCTCTGTACAATTTTGGGTGTGTGTATATATCTGTAGTTTACTGTAAATGACCTTTAACCTCCCTGCCTGAACTCTCTACTCCTTTTCCCTCTTTTCCTTCCTTCCTTCAACCAATCATGATGCCACACATCCACCTGCTTGTCACTCTGCAGACTGGAGAATCGTAAAGATGTCTACAGTCAGCTGCTCTCTCTCTCTCTCTCTCTCTCTCTCTCTCTCTCTCTCTCTCTCTCTCTCTCTCTCTCTCTCTCTCATTCTCTCTCTCTCTCATTCTCTCTCTCTCTCTCTCTCATTCTCTCTCTCTCTCATTCTCTCTCTCTCTCTCTCTCTCTCTCTCTCTCTCTCATTCTCTCTCTCTCTCATTCTCTCTCTCTCTCTCTCTCTCTCTCACGCACGCACACTAATGACCTGCACACTCACACACCCCTCAAGACAGCTGATCTTCACATTTCTACAGAGACTAGTTGCTTGATTGCTGGTTGATGGGTCGGACGCTGACCTGCTGTCAGTTTGTTTTGTGTTAATAAAGTTTGTAAGTCAAACTGCATCTGACAACAGATCAAAGATGGAGTTTGATTGTTGTTGATCTCTTCCATCGTTCAGGAAACGTCCTGTCCAAAAGCGTCTTCTTCAGCTGCGGAGTTCCTGCTCATTTCTAAACAACTGGACTCTTTAGTTGATTATGTGATCTGGTTTTGTCTGAAGTAGACGCTTTAAACTCGGCCCGCCTGCTGCTGTGACATTTTCAGCTCAGACTCTTCTAACATATCAAAGTGCTCAAACGTGAAGCCAGAAGCGAAAAAGCTTGGATTATTAATCAGATTATCCAGTTGTCTTCCTACCAAATGATCTTCAGCAGCTGGAGAAACAAGCAGCCTGTCGATCAGTCGGCAACGTCTAGAGTCTTGTTCAGGAGCTCACGGGGAAATCCACAGATCTGGATCAGAGCGAAGCAATCAGCAGCTCGGTAGTCAAACGTCACGGCCTGAGATTTTTACAGACGTCCTCTGTGTCACACGTCTGTGTGTGTGCACGTGTGTGTGTGTGTGTGTGTGTGTTTTAGAGAGAGAGAGAGGGAAACTGAGCCTCAATCATCCGTCTTCAGTTTGGTGTCTCGGTCCATCTGATCAGTCGTGTTTTTCTCAGGAGTATTGTTTATTTAACGGGTGCTGCAGCAGCGCCTGATGTTGTCGGAGCGGAGACATTCCCGCCGTGTCCTCCGTCCTGAACGCCACGTCCCGTCCCTGCTGCCGTGTTTGGGTCAGTCTGGTTTTTGTCTGGAACACAAACTTGTCAGAATCGAATTAATAAATCACAGCTTCAGTTTACTGTCCGAAGGTCGGCTTTCTGTCTTCAGTCACAAACTGTTCTGAGATCAGATGGGAGCTAACTGGTTTGAACTGGTTTGTCTGGTATTCTGAACCCTGATTTGATATTTCACAAAAAATCTGTGTTTTCCTGAAAATCTGGACTTTCAATGATGTAATCTGAGTTTATTTTGTCATTAATGTATGATTGTTCCCATTGAAATGCTTTTTTCAGAAACTGGGAAAATATAAAACACAGTTTAGACTCATTTCTGACTCGGTCCTCTTTTTCTTTTAATTTTACCTCCTAGCACCAACACTTTCCTGTAATCTTTTAAAGAAAGTGGAACAAATCCATTAAAGACCTGAACTCCACTGGGACCAGTACTGTCGCTGAAACTGGGTCAAAAAGCAGCCAAAGAACAAAGAGGAAATCCTTCAGCTCTTCAGAAAGTCTGAGCTGTTGCTCCAAAACCATTTTAACAGATTACAGGAAGGTCAGGCTGCTGGGGAGGAAAACAGAAAGAGACCAGACCCGGATCAGGAGTTCTGGGCCGGACCGGCCTTAATCTGCTGAAGTGATTCTTCACGTTTCCGGTCTGGTGTTGTAGAGCTACTGGAGCAGCAGGAGAAGTGATCTTACCTACATACGGGTGTTCGGATCCGCTTTATAGCAGTTGGGCTTCCAGGTTTTCCTCCAGAGAGTTCAGAACGGAGTTGGTTTTGGATCGGGTCGGGTTGGACTGAGGTTCTGCTCGTGTGCTGTTAAACTCCTCTTGTCCCATTGTTTGTATGGTTTTTACAGCCTGGTGTTTTAATACCAGTCCAGTTGTAGTCTGGTGGAGCTGGCAGGTCTTTGTAGAGCGGTGTTTCTGGACTCTGGAGGAACGTTGCTACAGGCTCCAGCTCCAGCTGCTGCTCTCACCTTCTGTTGAAGTTCACTTCTCTCCAAACATATCTAAATGCAAGACTCCTGGTTTTCTGGTTTTATTGTAGGAATGCTGGCTTCTTCACTCCATCTTCTGGGTCCTTTTTAAATAATACGTTTTGATGTGATTCTGATTAATATTCGGTTCAGTAGCTAAAGCTGTGATTCATTAAGGGAAGGGATCAGAAGCAGGTAGCCGAGTGTTTGACTCCACCTGTCCACCAGGTGAGCTGGAGTCAAAGCTCTTGGTTTTCCTGAAATATGATTGGCTAAAGTTTTGGATCCTTTTCATTCTTGACGGGGTTGTCCTTTGTCTGAACTCATGGTGACTCTCGGTTTTCATCTGGTGAATGTGACTCCGAGAACCAGGTGTTTTTGTTTTTATTTGTGTTTTTGTTTTTCTTGGCTGAATCTTGCCCCGGGGCTCCTCAGTGGTCTCCCGTACTGCACCAGTTCTGTACGCGAGGCCTTGCTGTGGTGCGTTCAGCGTCTGCTCAGGCTGTGGGACGTTTGTGTTTTCTTTGTGGTTGGCTGTTCATTGTGTGGCAGCAGCACTGAGGGTGTATTTTATTATTTTGGGTTTTAATCGAACGCCACGTCAAATTTATTCCAGAAAATAAAAATCTAATTGTTTGGGTAAAATGTCTTGTGGTTCTGATTTTGCTGCTTTTTTGGGTTTTATTTTTGTTACGTGTAAATTTTTAATGATTTTTATGTTGCGGCTGCTCATCTGCAGCTCTGAGATGTTTTTATTAAAATGTTGAATTTGGCGTTGCATCAATGTGCGCCTGTTGCTGGTTTAGATTGCCATAAATGCAGCTGAGCCGCAGCTCACCTGTTTTTTTATGTTTGTGTTTTGATGTTTTTTTTTTTAATATATGGTTGGGTGGGGGTGGTGCCTTGCAGGAAGATCAGACCTGATCAGGTGAGAAAATCTTATCAAAATTCAACAGCCTGACATATCTCTCCTGGATCTTAGTAAAACCGTCGTCGATGTTAAAGATGCACTGGATCGGCCTCGACATCCCCTTGTACCTCACATTTTGCCAAATGTTGTTTTTGTTGCATTTCTCTTGTTTAAATTAGTGTTTGTTTTTATACTTTGTCCATGACTCTTCCATTGTGTTGATGAAAAATGAGGAAGTAGTTGGAACAAACGGTGTAAAGAGACAAGAGACCAACTCAAGGCAGCTACATATGAGTGACTACTGTACAATGACAAAATAAAGCAATGGGTTTTTTACTCTGTGGGTGTGTGTCCTTTTGAAAGAAAACAAAAATGTCATACTAAAAATACAATTCATTCTCTTAGTACAATATACTTAAAGAGCAAGTCACCCCCAAATCAACTTTTTTTCAGATAAACTATAAATGCATGTCTGATCGTGCTGCAGACACGTGGAGTTAGTAGTTTTGCACTTTAGTGCTTTTTAGTTACAATTTAAAATTTCTACCTAAAACTGTCAGTGTTGTGCCGTCGTCAGGTAAAAACCACTGCATTTGAATTTAAATCTGCCATCGCTATTGGCTAAGAGGTACCCTAGAATGTTAACTGGTACCATATGATGTCACAATGTCATTGTGAGCTTGTGTGTGTGTGTGTGTGTGTGTATTTGTTAGCGGCTCCACCCTCTCGGTCTGCTAGGCAACAGCATTTGTTGCATTTTTCAAACAGGAAGTGAGAGTGGAGTAATTCTCTGGTAGGGGGTGACTTGCTCTTTAAAGAGCATTGTGACATCATAATGTACCAGTTTACATCATAGCATACCTCTTACCCAATAGCGATGGCAGATTTAAATTCAAATACAGTGCAGAGTTTTTACCTGACAACGGCACAACACTGACAGTTTTAGGCAGAAATTTTAAATTTTAACGAAGATGCACTGAAGTGCCAAATTGTTGACGACACGTGTCAGCAGCACGATTAGACACTCGTTTATTTAGTTTATCAGCAAAAAAAGTTAATTTGGGGGTGACTTGCTCTTTAAGAGGAGAGTTTTACCCACAATGCATTACAGCTGAACCAGCTGTGAGCAAGCTGGTGGAGAGATGATGCTCTGAGCTGGTTCTGCAGTTAGAGGACCACTATCTGAGAGTCCTAGATCCTAACATAAGACATGGATGAGCAGGGTCAGGGTCATGGACATACCGGTAGTTATTTGGGGGAAGAGGTGGGGGCACCCCCCCCCCCCCCCCACACACACACACACACACACTTTCTCCAAAGTCAGTTTTTGACCCCTGCACTTTTTGTTTTCACTGTCCAAACACAACATTATGCTATATTAAATAGACATTGGTTGAGCACTAGGACCAGGCGGAAAACAAGCCTGTCTCCCATCAGAACACACTGTAAAGACCCCCCCCCCCCCCCCCCCCCCCCCCACCGGTGGGGTGATGGTCTTTGTAATATCCTCAAGTAGACACAATGACATCCAGAGAGTAGGGTCTTGGTTGAACCTCGTTTATTCTCATCACACCGAAGCACCACAGCTTTCGTGACACACACACCTGAAGGAAGTGCACCGGAGCTAGCAGTACTGCCAGAATGGAGCACTGGCTCCCCCTAGAGGCGTCATGTAGTAGTTTCCTACCTCAACTACTACACCCCCCCCCCCCCCCCCATCCAGACAAAAACAAAGATGAAAAATAACACCATTTCCCATAAGCTAAAACCCACACCCCTTAAAACCACCACAAACCGTAACAACCCTGTAACCATGCGAGTATTATTATGGATAGCAAAAAAAAAATTTTTTTTAAATATATAGTAGACCTTATATAACATACAGCAAGAACAAACAACAGATTCACATGACACTCCCACTTAACTAACTAGGGAATTCGGGTAGACCACCTCATCCCGGCGAGCTTCCAGGGCGCATTCTTGCCCTTGCCGTGGAGCTCACCACTAACTAAGAATAGTCACTCAAATACGCAGGAGGCCTCCTGCTTCTCTGCGATCTCCTCACTTCCGGTTGTCCCCCTGCCGGCACCGCCTCTACCCTCTCCGGCCACGATGCTGTTGTCAATGGATCGTCCGAGTCCACTTGGCCGGTTGATTCCGTTGCGGCTGTGCTGTTGTCATTCAGGACAGGAGACAACACCGGAACATGTTCTGTTATTTCCGATAGGGGCGACCTGTGACGCACCTGATCTATATGTCTTCTCACCACATTCCCATTTCCTAGTGTGACTTTGCATGAGACAGGACCCGTCATCGCAGCAACAGCCCCCGGAACCCAGCGTGGACCCGAACCAAAGTTCCGAGTGTAGACCAAATCTCCTTCATCCAGCATCCTGTCCCTGGCATGCATGTCATGATAATACTTTTGCTTCCCTTGTTTACCAATCAGTCTGCCTTTGAAATCGGGGTGTATGAGATCCAAAGTTGATCTTAGTTTCCTTCCGCATAGAAGTTCAGCTGGTGACTTGCCTGTTGTTGACTGAGGAGTAATGCGATAACAAAAGAGAGCTCGGGCCATTTTAGTCTCCACTGACCCCCCTGTGCTTTTTTTCATCAATGACTTAAAAGTCTGAACGGCACGCTCTGCCAACCCATTCGAAGAAGCATGGTATGGGGCTGTGGTGATGTGGCGAATCCCATTCTTTTGCGTGAATTCCTGGAACTCCTCACTGGTAAAACAGCGGCCATTGTCGGACACGATTATTTCAGGAATGCCATGGTGACTAAAACTCTGAGGCATTTAATGGTCACAGCTGATGTAGACCTGTTTACCGCGTGCGCTTCAATCCACTTCGAATACGCATCCACCACAATTAAGAACCACTTGCCCATGAATGGCCCAGCATAATCCACGTGGACCCTCCTCCAGGGGTTTTCAGGCACCTCCCAGGGGTGTAAAGGTGCCACCGCGGGATTATTTAGGTTTTCCTGACACACGGCACACCCCTTCACCATCAACTCCACCTCTTCATCCAAGTTTGGCCACCACATGTAGCTGCGTGCCAACCCTTTCATCCTGGTCATTCCTGGATGGGCGCGATGAAGCTGTTTCAGCAGACGTGCTCGACCTTGTGGAGGGATAATCACACGCCCTCCCCACAATATGCAGCCTTCCTGTGTGCTGAGCTCCTCCTGACGCCTGACGTAAGGTAAAAATGCCGCGTCCTCTACCTTTCGAGGCCACCCTCTTAATATGTACTCTCGCACCCGAGCCAGCACTGGGTCTTTGTCTGTCCAAAGTTTCACCTGCTGTGCAGTCACCAGGGATGTGTCACTGTCCTCAAACAGCAGGACTCTTTCCCCCTCCTCTGAGCCTGCGTCAGTCCCCTCGCTCATTTCAGTCAACGGCAACCTGCTCAGGGCGTCTGCATTGGTATGATTCTTCCCTTTCTTATACACAACGGTGTAATCGTATGCCCCAAGCGTGACTGCCCATCTCTGGATGCGAGGTGACGCCAACTGTGGTACAGCCCTGAGCTTGCCGAAAAGTGAAATTAACGGCTTGTGGTCTGTTGTAATGGTGAAACATTTCCCATACAAGTACTTGTGGAACTTTTTCACCCCAAACAGTACCGCCAACCCCTCCTTATCTAACTGTGAATAATTTTTTTCCGCCGCATTGAGCGTTCGAGACACAAATCCTATGGGTCTTTCAGAGCCATCGGCCAACTGGTGAGAGAGCACCGCCCCCACTCCATAAGGTGATGCGTCACATGCTAGGAGGAGGGGTTTTCCTGCATCATAGTGTACCAATACCTTGCAAGATTGCAACAGAGACTTGTACTCTTCAAAGGCTTTCTGTTGTTTTGGGCCCCATGACCATTTCACCTCCTTCCTCAGCAGTAGGTGAAGAGGAGCTAGCAGCGTGGATAGGTTTGGAAGGAACCTGTGGTAATAATTTAAGAGTCCCAAGTACGCCTTTAACTCCGTGACATTTTGTGGTGCTGGAGCTTTTGCGATGGCCTCCACCTTTTCTCTCAGAGGATGTAATCCTGCCGCATTTATTCTGTGCCCCAAGAACACCACTTCCCTTGCCATGAACTCACACTTGCTTCTTTTTAATCTTAACCCACTATTTCCCAACCTTAGGAGGACCTCGTCAAGGTTTTTTAAATGTTCTTGTTCACTTGGCCCTGAGATGAGTATGTCATCCAGATACACTGTGACATTCGGAATTCCTCCTAATATGCTCTCCATCATTCGCTGGAAGATGGCAGGACTGGAGGCCACCCCAAACGGCAGCCTGGTGTATGTGTAAAGGCCCTTGTGTGTGTTAATGGTGACATATTTCCTGGACCCCTCGTCCAACACAATCTGTTGGTAGGCATGACTCATGTCCAGTTTTGTAAAGTACTGTCCCCCTGATAACTGTGCAAAAAGATCCTCCACCCTTGGAATAGGATATTGTTCCATCTTGGAAGCCTGGTTTATTGTGAGTTTGTAATCCCCACAAATTCTAATGGATCCATCTGGTTTCCGGAAGGGGACAATAGGGGCAGCCCATTCGGCAAACTGCACAGGCTCAATTATCTTATCCTCCTCTAGCCGTTGTATTTTCTTCTCCAACAATGGTTTTACTGCATAGGGTACTGGCCTTGGCTTATAAAAGCGTGGTCGAGCCTCACTGTCCACATAAATCTGGGCTTGCATGCCCTTCAGAGTTCCCAAGCCTTCTTTAAAAACCCCTGAGTGTTTCTTTAGCACACACTCCAGTTTTTCTGTGGGCGCCAGCCCTACGTTGTTTACCAGCTGCTCTGCCATCGACAGCTCCTGCAACCAGCTGCGCCCCAGCAGGTTTGGTCCAGCCGCATCCACTACAACCACAGGTAGTGTTTTAAGAGCATTCCGGTCCTCTACCTCTACTTGCGCCATTCCCAGGACTCCCAGCTTTTCCCCTGTATACGTTTTCAAGATTAGTGAGCATGGGCTTAGACCCGATTTGGCATTTTGTTACAAAGCAGGGAATATTGTTGTTTGCTCAAAATGGTCACCCCACATCCTGTGTCTATCTCAAACAGTACGGCCAAGCCATTTATGTTGACCATGCGAGTGATGGGAGCGACCTTTGGTAGGCCACCCGACACATTGTAAATGGTATTAATGCCATCAGATTCTTCAGAGTCACTCCCCACCTCTGTTCTCAACAAATGTGTCTGACTGCCTCTATTTGGGTCTCTCCGTCCCTCCTTTTTGCTCAGGGGCCCCTTTTTTTGTTCCTCCTGCGGACCCCACTTGGACCTGCAGGCTCTTCTAATGTGACCCCTCTTGCCACAACC